CCTGAAAAGCCTTGCAGAGGCTTTTTCCTAAGCCTCTGGAAGGCCAAAAAAGGCCTCAAACCAACTGGAAAAAAAAATCAACTGTGAGGCACGTGCATTTGAAGTGAGGTAAGTTTGTCTGCGGTTGGCGTGCCAGCACAAATGGCTCTGCATGCCACTTGTGGCATGCGTGCCATAGGTTCGTCATCACGGGCTTAGAGGATAAGAATACTAGGATACTTCTGTTGACTGCTGGCTGCAGCTTGGACAGCATATATAACTATATAAACTGACTGCATTAAGAACATGGAATACAGTAGTCCTCGACTTACAACAGTTCCTTTAATAACCATTCAAAGTTACAACGGTGCTGAAAAAAGTGCCTTATGACTGTTTTTCACACTTATGACCATTGCAGCGTCCCCACAGACAGGTGATCAAAACTCAGATGCTTGGCAACTGACTCATATTTATGACCGTTGCTGTGTCCCAAGGTCATGTGGCCCCTTTTGTGACTTTCTGACAAGCAAAGTCAATGGGGAAGCCAGATTCATTTAACCACCATCTTAACAACTGCAGTGAGTCCCTTAACTATGACGAGAGAGGTTGTAAAATGGGGCAAAAATCAGTTAACAAATTTCTCACTTAGCAACATAAATTTTGGGCTCAGTTATGGTCATAAGTCAAGGACTACCTGTACTGGGGGTTTAGAATTGCAGGTTCTTTGAGATTATACGTATGTATGTATATACATGTGTAGGAATTTGATGTTGTCATTTGACATTCCTGGCAAGGATCAGGGCTTGGATCAAAAATAAATATTCTGTCTTTCAATTTCCCTAGGAATGAATGATGTACTCCCCAATGCACCCCCTTACGTGCCCCGAACTGGACAGGTAAGGGGTTTGGGGTTGCAGGATAGAAGTGGGGAGAAGAGGTTCCAATTGGCATGGAAATGGTGAAAATGAAGAGCGCTGAATCTAGAAATCCTCCTTAGAAAAGTGTCATTACGGGGTATTTTCTTCCATACAGAAAATTACCGTGTTAATTGGGAAGCCATTCAGCGTCCGTCCATTGCTAGAACGGCTGCGGGCAGAAAACAAGTCGGCGGTGAGTGCAGAGTGAAAATATCGGGAGGACTTCACTCCATGGATGGTGATAGAAGTATTATGCAGCAGAGGTTGAAAGCATGGGTGTCCACAGGCAACAACCACAAAAGCTTCCACGGAAGCTCAAGACGTTACATTAAAAAAAAAACCACCAGAAATTATCTTTAAATCTTATGCCAGTCGCTGAAGAGATTGCTGGAGCTGACTTTATTGTGGTCTCCTTAGTAGGATTCACATTGGGCTCTTGACAATGCAATGAGCATGCTAGATGGGAATGTTTAGATTGCTACCCTTTATCTGGCAAGCACCAGATTGGGAAAAGTTGTGCACTAGGGCTCTAGCAAAAAATGTGGCAAGGCATTAGCTTATACTGAGCCATAATGTAGTCTGTGTATGTTGGGCTCCTCAGAATGTGTGTACACAGCCAAACCAAAGCCAAAGCTTTGTTTATGACTTAAGATGGGGTGTGTGGAACCAATCACGATAAGTCTGCTTGTGTTGCTTTGTTGATTTTGGCTCTTTCTGCTTGTAGATGGAGATGCGCAAAGCCCTGACTGATTTCGTTCAGGAGGAGATCCAGACCCTAAAGGAACAGGCTGAGAGACTGCATCAGACTTTCAAGCTACAGGGCTAGTGTTGACTAGACTAAGCAGACGATCTGTTACTGAAACATGGATTATGCAATCGTGGTCTATGGCAAGAAATGTAGTCTTTGCACAGACTACTTTTAACTCGTCGCTTTTAAGTTAAATTTTCTCATTTCTTCACCTGCCACCCACACCCTGTTGAAGATGGAGCGGCATTGCATGCAGACGATTGGATGAAAGCTCCAATACCTTGTTGACCTTCATGCTCTCCTGACTGTACTGGCTTTGGTGTCTGCCTCCCAAAGGGAGGGACTTGCAATGGACTATTGTATGTAGTTCCCTCTTGCTAGAACCTAGAGGTGTTGGGACAACTGCTGGTAATGCAAGAACAGGAAGAGGAGGGGATGGGGGGGGAGGGAAATCCATCTCCATCCTGTTCTTGCAAATATCTCCACTCATTAGAGGAATACATAGTGCATTTTGTACATTTCCACTTTTTGTAGACTATTGGTTTGCAAATTGTTTTATACTTGAAAACTCCCCCCCCCCTTCAATAAATGAATCAGACCAGTGGTGGGATTCAAATATTGTGGCCACCGGTTCGGTGGGTGTGGTTTGGTGGGCGCGTTTTGCATGCGTGCACACACTTTGTGTGCACACGTGCACCAAACGTACACTTTGTGCAGGCGCAGGGGCGGGATTCAAATTTTTTAACCGGTTCTGTGGACATGGCTTAGTTGGTGGACATGGCTTGGTGGTCATGTGGAGTCAAGCTAGCAGAGAAAAATTGTCCCAGGTAAGGCCTGTGAATATAATGAATGGGATTTATATAAGGGGAGGAGGGCTTCTTATCAAACTGTATGCTTTGTTAATTAAGGACAGTGGGAAGGAAATGTCCCCTCTCCCTTTCTTTGTAATGCCTGTTGAAGGTTTCTATCATACTAGTTAATTACTGTTATTCCATTTACAAATTCAGTCTCTCCATAACTGACATCAGGCATTGAGTATTTTGTAAATCTATTATTACTGCAAGTATAATATCAGGAATTCAGCATCACTGAGGTGTATATTATGATCTGGGATTCTTCACATTACAGCTCACAACTTGATACATCGGTGTAAATCAACCTATAAGCTTTTGGTGACTGCAGAACAAAAAAGACCATTTCCCTCCACCCCCATCCAGACCTTGTCCATCTATGTACAAATTCCATTCATTTTAATAGGATTTGCAAAAGATCTTCTGGGCTGGGAATTAAGTTCAGAAAGTGTGGTATATGGAAAACCATTAGTAGTTGCTAGAGTAGACATGTAAATTTAAGAGTACCTTGCAATGTGTGCCAAAAGGATTAAAATCTTAGTGGCAGCTAAAAAGCAATGCTTCCTATCCCTGGACTATTGCTGCTGAATAATGCAAAACACCATATATCTCTCTTGCTTGCGACCTTGAAAAGTCTGTGTTTTTAATAAATGTCCAATATACAGAACATTACAATGTTGTTCAAAGGTCCTAACACAGATCTTGATTCATTTCAATCCTAACTTTCCTCCATGGATCCCTCCATTACAGCAATCTTCTGAGCTATGTTAAGATACATGTAGTCCTTGACCTATGGCCACAATTGAGCCCAAAGCTTCTGTGCTAAGTGAGACAGTTGAGTTTTGCCCCAATTTATGACCTTTCTTGCTGTTATGTCAGGGATGTCAAACTCGTGGCTCGTGGGCCGGATGCGTCACACTCTGGCCACGCCCACCCCAGTGGTGGGTTTCAACTTTGTTTACTACCGGTTTCTGTGGGCGTGGTTTGGTGGGCATGGCATGGCTCAGTGGGCATGGCTTGGTGGGCATGGCAGGGGAAAGATACTGCAAAATCTCCATTCTCACCCCACTCCAGGGAGAAGCTTACTGCAAAATCCCATTCCCTCGCCACCCCACTAACCTGCTTTCCAGCTCCGTTCTCCTGTGCAGGGCAACAAAAGAAGACCCAGCCGATCAGTTGGGACTCGGGAGGCAGAGAATAGATGGGGGTGGGACCAGTCAGAAGTGGTATTTGCCAGTTCTCCAAACTACTCAGAATTTCTGCTACCAGTTCTCCAGAACTGGTCTGAATACCACCTCTGGCCCACCCCCATTTTAGCGAAGTGGGACAAAGTTGCGATACATCACATAATGACATGACACCACGAGTTTGACACTCCTGTGTTGAGTGAACCACTGCAGTTGTTAAATTACTAACAAGTTTATTAAGTGAATCTGGCTTTGCCATTGTCTTTGCTTGTCAGAAAGTGACAAAAGAGGATCACATGACCCAAGGACACTAACCATCAGCTATGAGCCAATTGCCAAGTGTCTGAATTTTGATGTGACCATGAGGACGTTGTAATGGTTGTTAAATGTGAAAAATGGCCATAAGTCACTTTTTTCCCATGCCATTGTAACTAAATGAAGCCTTGTAAATCGAGGACTATCTATACAGTAGTACAAGCCCAAAATCTTTCAGTGAATTTCTTGATGGAAGGGAAATTTAAACCTCGCTCTCTCTCTCTTCACTCAGTCTAGAATTCTTAAATCGTTGACACTCACTGAGTGGTTAATGACGGGAGGCTTTGGGGATTATAGATAAAACATCCGCGCTAACAAGTTGCTTGTTATTATATACGAATATATAATTTCTGCATAATGTAATTTCCTCCACATACCGAAGAATGCACTCTGAAGGTGTTTAATACTGTACATTCCTCGGAATCGGTAAAATTGAAGCAGAGAACAAAATTACATTTCACTTCTTCTCAGCTCCCTCCAAAAGCCCCTCCTTTTTCCATCTGGAAACGAGGGCAGGGATTTTTAAACGACACTGACACTTTTTTCCCCTCACGAGTACAAAATTCACGTGTCCTGCTGTCTGGGCGCAAGACTATGTTGCATATTCTACTCTACGGTGTTTTATTCTGGAGGAAGCCCCAGAGTCAGTCTTTGGAGTGGAAGCCACTACTTCCGTGCCCCTGGCTGTATTTATTAAAATAATATTAATAATAATCGTCCCGCCTGACCCAAAGTCCGCTTCACAGAGATTACGGACTTTATAAACAGGCAAGCCAAATTCCTTGTGTATCCAACCACACTTGGCCCATAAAGAACTCTATTCTATTCAAAATTGACTTTTGCTGAACTGGGAAGAGCCTCCCGATCACGGGAAAGGAAATATCAGGCAGCCTAAAGAAAATCCCCATTGGCTCTTGAAGGTCCCGCCTCGTCCTCTAAATGGATGTTCCCTTAAACCCGGTAACGGCCTTCCGGGTCCTGATTGGCTGCAGCGGGCCGGGAACGCAGGAGAAGAACCCTTCGTGAAGGGAACAGGAAGGAAAATGGCGTTGCGGTGGGTCGCAGGAGTTTTGCTGCTGAGCCTGGGGCTGGTGGCCGCGCATACGGGACAGGTGCCCTTGCTCGCTTGGTCGAGTCACAGGTATGCGGGACTCTGGAATAGTCTACGCAGGTAATTGAGGTCATGGGGATTAGAGTCACGGGGGATCGAAGCCGCCGAAGGGATGGGGTTTGAGGTTGCTTTGCGTGGATAGCCACCCGAGTCTTTTTATTTTGGTTTTGTTCCTCTGGATCGCTCCCTTTATCCACACCTTACGGATATTTTAAACCTTTAAAGTTCCCGAGATGCAAAGCACCCGTGCTGCAAACGCTTGTATTCGTATCCCCCTCTTGAACACTGTCTCGAGACGAGTCTTTATTTGCTGGAGTTATATTGCATGTGCAATTCTGGGAAACGTGTTGAGATGGTCTCACGATCGCAGATGACTCCGTCCTTAGCTATTCTGGCTTAGGATTGTGAATGAAACGGGTCTCTGAGTGTAATTTTGGGTCTCCTCAATACAAAGGGGGATCACTATATTTCTGGGAACAATAAGAAATCCCCTCTTTTTGCTATATGGCCCTGGAAGAATATTGTGAAATACAATAGTCTGTTTGATCTGCAGTGTCCTTCGGATTTTGGAGCTCTTGAGATGTGCTGTGCTAATATAGGGTGAAAAATAATTCTAGAGGTGCTATCATGTTAAGGGGAAGTGAAGTAATGAATAGCTTAGTTTTGTGGTATTAATAGTTTCTACCAACAAGACTATAACTTTGGCAAAAGTATTGTTTACAACTTATGTCTTAATTCCAAGGTGCCAATGTGACATTTCTGACACTGCATGGGCAAAGTATTAGATTTACATATAATGGCTTTTCCCCCCAAAGCAATCAATAAAGTTTGATGCTTCAAGGAGGACTTCTCTAGCTGTAGGATTTTTTTTGCATCTCTGTTACAGTGTTTCAGTGTACCGAAAAAGGATATTCTACCCCTTTAGAAGTTTCTCATCAGTTTTTAGGTACAGGAGAAGACCGTTATTCCAGATTGGTTTTTCCATTCTCCTTTCCATAATTTTCATTTTGATATATCAACCAGAATCTACATTCCTCATAATTTGCTCTTTTTTTAAAAAGACATTGCCCTCATTTGATTATATTTCCCTTTGGGCTATTAGTGCCCTTGCCTTGCCTTGGGAGATATAATTGTATTCTGACCAATTGCAATGAATAAAGGGACATATTAAAATGCAATGCAAAAACAAAAACAAACCAACTAGGTGATGTGATGGGGTTTCTATTTACACCTGTACTTCAGTAGTCTTAAATAATATTTTTGAAACTTTGACAAACTTTGGTGCCATTATATTTTAGAAATTCTGTGAGACTGTTGGCATGAGATTCTGTTCTCCCCTCAAAAGACTTACTTTTTAGAGTAAAACCTGGTTGTACATAAAAGATACAGTAAAGTATTATTTTGGTCTTTTATCATGGCTGCTAAGCATTCTCACCTTACTGTTGTTGCAACTCAAACTAGAGGAATGTTCTCAATGAGCAGATACAGAATTGAAGATGGGATTAGGCCAGTGGATATGCAATACTTGTAGAAACTGAGCAGGTTGCTAAATATGAACCTAAAAGCTCACAGACCCTTTCATTTTTGGCTTGTGAGTGAAATGCTAGTTTTAATCATGCATGTTCTATTTGTGTCAGCCTCATTCCCTAAACTAGTGTCACCTGGATATGTTGACCATCAGTGCTTGTAACAGCCTACCAGTAGGCTGTCGAGGATTTGTTTGGGAAGTTGAAGTCCAGTACACAGCAGGCTGATATTGTAAGAGAAAGATAAAAGCTCCCGTGAAAGAAAAGTGTAGCTTTTCTCTTTTTGATTCCCTCCCCACCCCTCTGTCTTGTGAGTACAGCTCCTTGTGGTCCCCTTTGGCAGCTCCACATGAGGGTCATGTGGTGACAGAAGCTCAGCTTGCATCTTTACTGGACTTGGCAGTAGACGGCGGCCCTCACAATGTATTGCTGTTCCTTCAGGAGAAAGTAAGTTATGGTGACAGGCTTCTTCATCTTCATTGTATTTATGACACTCCTTGCCAGTGGTTGCATGCTGGCCTGTTCATGTAGACTGCTAATTTCTTCCTATTTTAACCTATAGGAGTAGAAAAATCTTTTGGAAATAAGCATTTTACAAGTAGTTAATAATACTACGGTATCTATTTCATTGTCTGTATACTGATTTTGGTTCTTTTGGGGATTCAGTGTGTGTGTGGGAAGCTTCCTGTTTCTTGAGAGTGCACATGGAAATAAAAGGAAGCTTCTTTAGCTTAGTCATGTATACTGGGAACCTTGTGATTGTGACATTTGATCACTTCTTCACTGCATTTATCAGGATCTTTGTTGGCCATTGTTGTAGGGTGGAGTATTTCTCTTCTCCTTGCCATATTAACATGATAAGAAAATGATAACGCAGCTTCTCCCTAAAGTGGAGCAGCAGCTTCTGTTGAAAGTTCCTTTTGCCCGTTTTTCTTTTTATCTGTTCTGTAGGTTTGAACTAAAATCAAGGTGACTTCTTTTCAAAATATAAAATGTTAAAAATGCTGCTCACAAAGCCCTGTTGTTCAGAGAGAGGTTTAAAACATTTTGTCTTCCCTTGCAGCTTAGCGTTGAGGATTTCACAGCATATGGTGGAGTATTTGGAAATAAGCCAGATAGCGCCTTCCCCAATCTGGAGGTGAGCAAGAATAATTGAGGGTTATAAGTTATGCTGCATCACCTATTTCTCTTACTGTGCATGTATTTGGGTACAGCAACATATATCTCTGTATATGTATATGCATAAGTGTATACTGAGAGAGAGAGAGAAATGTTATTTAAGGTACTGTTTGGAGGAAGGGGAATCCATTGCTGCTACGTGTCAGTTAAACCTTAAATTATATCAAATTATATTAATTGTTCCATTTGTGTAGTATCATAAATCTCATGAGTGAGATAAAATCAACTTGAAAATTAACATATATTTGATTGCATTAGCTGGACTCCTTCGGATACAATGCATTTGTTTAATTATTTCAGGATAGAAGTTTAACCTTGCATCTGAAGTCTGAGTTGAACTCCCTGAATTGAGTTTTCATTCTGAGAGTTTTTCCATTGGGCCATTGTTTCCAAGAAGTACTAAAAAGAAGATCTTAAAATACAGTCATAGAACTAACATATTTCCATTGTGTCCAGTTACAATTTCTTTTCATTTCCTTTTTGGTTTGTACTACAAGCTGGAATGGCTTCTTGTTTCTTAAATATTTGGCAGCTAGAGACCGGAAGCCAGAAAAATAGGTCATTCCACTGTATTAAATAAAATGAAAAAGGAAGAGAAGCCGTTTTGAGGTTTTGTTTAATAAAAAGCAGCAGGATCACTGGTGTGTTTTATTTTAAGTATGTTTGATCAGGATCTCCTGGGAACTGCATTCATATTCTCTCTCAGTTGTATAGCTTGCAGACTCTCTCAAGCTAATGGTGTATGTGAGAAAATGTTAATTGGAGAGAGAGAGAAAACTTTCGCTAGCAGTCTTGAACATCTAGGAAGGAAAAGAGATAACATTCAGATTTGATTTAAATTCCAGCTATAGTCTTAAAATCTAATTACATATTCAGCCTAATGAATGAGTAAGATCTCATGTCACTTTAAAAGGGGAGATATTCAGACTTAGGCCCGATAAGGGGCTGTTTCCTATCTAGTTCAGTTTTCCTATGTATGAAATTCAAAATCATGTAAAAGTAAACAATTTTCCATGTATGAGTTTGCATAAATAAACTGGAATATACAATGACAAATGAAAGTCTTGTACTTTAATACCAATGCTATTTATTTCAGACTGTAAATTACAAATGGAAGCTTTAAAATGTTTCCTTTATCCTTTCTTTTCCTAACCCTAACCCTTGCATGCAACAATAGGCTGTTTATAGACAGTTGGTCATTGAAAATTACTGATGTGATTTCTTGCCAGATCTTGGTAATAAATGAAAAATAGGCTATGGTACCTGTATTGAATTTGGGGAAGGATGCATTTGCCCCCTGACCATTAATCTACATTTAATTCTTAATTCTGAAATTATATATTTTTTCCTAGCACTTATCTATGGTACACGTAGTCCTTGAATTATGACTGCGATGGAGCCTGCCCATGGTCACTTAACCAACCTAATTTTATGACCTTTTGTGTAGCAGTCATAAAGGTAGTCATTAAGTGAACCCATTATTTGCTATGATGCATTTGACAAAATCCAGAAATAATTGTCAATTTGGGGCAAAACTGTCATAAAATGTGATCATGTGACCATGTGATGCTTGCAGACGGCCATAAATGTGATCCTGTTGCCAAGTCCCCAAGGTTTGGTCATGTGATCATGGTCCCGACTTTGAATCCATGTTACGGGTCTCGTTTTTGGGTCCATTTTAATTTCAAATAGTCACTAAGCCACCAGTTATAAATCAATGCTGAAATATTAGACTACAATGCTGAACTTTAAAGTAAACTCTGGCCATGGCTTGGATTGATATGGAGTCAGTAGTTGTTTGAAAAGCAAAATATTATAACACTAAAAGATGCACAGTGGCAGCTCAAGATAATGAAAAAGTGCCCATCTTTTTATTAACAACATAATTTAGGAAACCTTGTTGGGCATAGAACTGACTATTTCATTCCTTCCCATTAGAATGCCTTAAGAACAGCTCCCTCTTCCTTGGTGCTTCCTTCTGTCGATTGGTTTGCAGCTGGTGCTGTGCCTGCCTTTTTGAAGGCCAAACTGGGCGTTTCACCTCTTCACGTGGACCAGAACACCTTGCAGGAGCTGCGACTCAATGCCAGCCTTCCTGCCTTACTGATGGTGCGATTGCCTTATACCACTGGGTAAGTATTCAGTCTTGTGGTACTGTGATATCCTCCCTCTTGTGCACATGCGCACACAGATATTGCAAGATGCATCCCCAGGGCTGTAGGTGATAAAGGAATGCATTGAAAATCTTTGGGGAAGGCATGAGAGAATAAAAATAAGATTATCCAGTCCTGAAAAAAAAAAAAAAAAGGAAGGCAGGAGAAAAGAGCTCAAAATAAACCCCACCTTGATGTTGTTTAGTATGAAATTGGAGAGAGCTTTCAGGAGTTTGTTCTTGTCCAATAGAGATTAATTCTAGAATCCCTGCCTTGCCTGTTTCTTGACTTGGCCTATTTCAAAGGGCTGACAACAATCTTGAAAAGCTTGTTCAAGTTTTTCTCTGTCCTCTCTTATGCTAACCCAAGTCTAAAATATTCTGAATTTCTTTCTCATCCTTCCCTCTATTTCAGGGCTGTGTAATTTCTTTAATGGCTCTCTCATATCTTTCCCTCCAATCAGTTTTCCAATCCTTTACATGAGCAACGGCTTCCTATTGATCATTACATGTTAACATTCAGATAATCTGGTGCTGTTTCTTAGTCTTGTGGATCCAGCTCATAGTATTCATTTCCCCCAAAGTCGACTTCTCTCAACTTTTACTCTGCAGTTTCTATTTCCCCTCTGTGTAGCCTATCTTGGTATTTCACTTCTTCTACTTTCCCCTTTGCCTTCTTCCCCGTATCTATCAGGACACATGCATGTCACGTTTCCTTCAGGTTTTTCAGTCGTTCTCCACTGCAGTCAGAAGGCTGATCTGGACTCCCTTCTATATGAGGTAGTGAGAAGCAATGTGGCTCCTGGAAATCTAGGCTAAACTTTCTCTCTCCAGCTACAGTATAGAGTATCATTGATAACTATAGGAAGTTACCCCTTATCACCACAATTTATGAACCCAAAATTTATATTGCTAAATGAGACATTTGTTAAGTGAGTTTTGTCCCATTTTACACATTTTTGCTACATTCGTTAAGTGAATCACTGCAGTTGTTAAATTAGTAACCCCATTGTTAAGTGAATCTGGCTTTCCCGTTAATTTTGTTTGTCAGAAGGTCACAAAAGATGATCACATGACCCTGGGATACTGCAACCCTCAAATATCAGTCAGTTGTCAAGCATGCAGATGTAAATTCACATGACCATGGGGATGCTGCCATGGTCAGAAGTGTGCAAAATGGTCCTAAGTCACTTTTTTCAATGCCATTGTAACTTTAAATGGTCACTAAACGAACTGTTCCAAGTCTAGAACTACGTGTAAAATGGAAGAATCTAGATTCACAGAAAGGGAGACTGGAGACTTTTTTTTGTTAACAAGCTGTAATCTCTCTCTTCCTCTCTCCTCCCCCCTTTCTTCTCCAGCTCTAGTCTTATGGCCCCAAAGGAAGTTTTGACCAGCAATGGTAAGCAATAGCTTGGAAACATTAATCCACTGGGGAAGAATGGCTTCTGATAGCATTTCGGGTGGGCCTGCAAAGCTAACCTGCTTGGAATGTCCTGGTGTGGGATTCTGGTTTTAGGATCAGCTCGTACAGGTATTCTTAACCTACAGCAATTTGCTTAGTGATCATTTGCTTAGCGATCATTCAAAGTTACAATGGCACTGAAAAAAATGACTTAAGACCAGTCCTCCTGCTTATGACTATAACAGCATCCCCCACAGTACAGGATCAAAATTCAGGCGCTTGGCAACCAGCGGGTAATTACAACGGTTGCAGCATCTCAGCATCATGTGATCGCCATTTGCAATTTCTCAGCTGGCTTCCAACAAGCAGAGTCAGTGGGGAAGCCAGGTTTGATTAACAAGCATATGATTCACATAACAGCTGCAGTGATTTGCTTACCAACTGTGGCACAACAGATTGTAAAATGGGACAGGACTCCCTTAACAACCATCTTGCTTCGCCACAGAAATACTGGTCCCAAATTATGGTTGTAAGTCAAGGACTACCTGTGTTTAGTTTATAGTAGCCAGGTGTGTGGCACTCTTACAGCGGTTTGCTTTTTGCTGTATGGACTAGCTTATGCAAAAGACAGTCCCAAGGAAAGTCCTCACTGACAAGGGACAGCAGCAGACTTATGTGAAGCAGGGAGGTAAAGAGCAGGCATGCAGGTTGGGCCAGATTCAGAGAAGGCAAGAAGTGCTGTTTTCTTGGGGCTGTTTATTTATGCCTTCAGATTTTTTTTTCCCCTTCTAACAAAATGTCTTCTTGCAGATGAGATCCTGGGGCAGGTTTTGAGCGCTCTTCAGTCAGAGGACATTCCCTACACAGCCATCCTGACTGCTCTGCGGCCTTCCAGGGTACACAGTCCTTCTGTAGTTTCTCTTCTTGCTCTCCTCCCTGGTTCCTGGGAATACATCATTCTCTGAATCACAGTAATTGGCTGCCTTTGCGTCTGAGTCAGCTTGATAATAATAGGTGCAAGGTTCACTTTATAAATGTCAAAGAAAAGTAAAACATAGTGATAATTAAATTATACCCAAAGATACGGTGAAATGAGGAGGAAGATAACAAAAAAGGTTTTTTAAGACTTTAAAAAAATATTAGTCTTTTTGTTAAAAGAACTAGCAATAAGAGAGACTGAGTTAAATTGGATTGTGCCAAAGCAAAATGTCCAGAAAATGGATGCCTGCGTGGATGTCTGGGAGCATTTATTTACCTGTTTACCATCTTTATACTGTTGCCTTTATTATATGCAGTTCAAGCTACATAATGCTCCCTCTTGTTTTCCTCACACTAATAACTCTGTGAGGTAGGTTGGATTGAGAGAGAGAGTGACTGATTCAAAGTCATCTGTGCTTAAGACTGGATGAAACACGGTCTCCTGTTTCTAGTCTGGCTCTTGGATCGATCTAGTTCTCTAAAGCAACTCTTTCACAAGATACCTGAGAGCTCCACGTGACCCCTCTTAATGGTGCTCCAGAACCTGTGCTATAAGGAGTGAGTGTGCCAAGCAACATCCATTTAAAAATTCATTTAGATTCAGTAGCAGTTAATGAAATACGATTACTCCTAGAATACTTGATAATTTGTTCCTTGACATTGCTATAAAAATACTTTGATAGTAACTTTTGGAGAGCTAGCATTGGAGAGCAGAGGGGGCTATATCCTTGTCTGCAAACCCACAGCATAACCTTAAGTCTTTCCTGCCCCATTGCATTCTCTCCACCTTTATTTTTTCCTCTCCACTCTCTGATAAAGTGACTTTTGGTGGTTTTTTTTTTTTAATGAATGGTATTATAATTCTGTTTGTAAACTGTCTTGATAAACACTGGTTGTATAATACAGCATATGAAGAAGGGAAAATTCCCCTGTAGGTTCTCCGGGATGTTTCTGACATGGCTCCAGAGAAGCTAGGTAGACAGCTACTTCAGACGGAGACAGCATTTGCACCTGTTCGTTACCCGCTAACTGGGACCCCAAAGATACTCTTTTGGGCCAGCAATTTATCAGTGACCATCAACAACACACTGTTTGACCTAACCAATTTAACCTTTGGGCCTAGTCCTACAGTTGATGTGCAAGAGTCTGTATGGAATTTCAATGCTTCTGAGTAAGTTGGGGCAAGGGCTGGGAGAATGATGGGGAGGTTCTAATGATGTGATAATATGAGCTGTTGAGGAAAGTATATATAGGTGGGATGGGAAGTTACTGGCTGCCAGGAATTGGAGGAGCAAGTGGTGTGCACTTTTACAAAAAAAAAAAAAAGGATTCACCTTTGAATCATTCAAGCTGGCATGTCAATCTGTAAACATTTGTTGTGAATCTACTTCTGCTAGTGATGGGTTTGGAGAATCTTGAATTCTGGCCTTTCTATATCATGATTGTTCCATTTTGCTTCACATCAACAACTACCTGCATTTTGCCCCCAGGTTTCTCTCAAATTTTACAGATTATGAGTGAGATGTAAACACACATACACCCAATTTGGGGAAAATAATATCTGGGATTTTTCTGTGCCATGCCAAATTCTAAACTGGCATACAGATAGTCCTCAATTTATGACTGGTTGTTTAATGATGCAAGTTATAATGGACTTTTAAAAAGCTATTTATGAACCATCCTCAAAGTTGTGACTGCCGCACCTCACCCCATCCCACCCTTTTGCCATCAGAAAATGGCAAAAAACATTGTATATGCCTGATTTACTTAACCACATAGTTTGCTTAATGACCACTTTCATAAAAATAGTTGTAAAATCAAATCTGTTCACATGGTGCCTCAACACAACCACAACGTATGACTGAAATTCCAGGCTCCATTGCAGCCATAAATCAAAAACTATTTTAGAATCATACTTAACATTTGGACAGCATTAGCTAAACATGAAGGTTATATAAGTCTTTACTAAATATGGAGAGGAAATGTATAGTTTGGGGCTGGTTAAATAAATAAATAAAAACTAACTCTGCTTTCTCTCCATAGATTGGCACTGAAATATAAAAACATAAATGGGAAAGAGCTAAAAATCAGGTAAAGTTGGCACAGTTTCTGAGATCCTGTTCTTAGAGCGGCATATGTTTTACCAGTTGTTACTTGTCTTTTTCAATCTGGGAGTTAAATCACCAGGTTGTTCTCTATCTACTGCAGAGTTGAAATTTCATTATTTCTTGTGGTACAATTTGCATGGAAGGGCTCAGCTGGGTCTTTTTGTTAATATTCTAAAACAGGAGGTCTTGTTCCTTAGATTTTGTTTGTAGTTTTTCCAGTGTTGCTCCTGAGGTCTCATAGACAAAGAGAGCCTTAAGTTATTCTTACCCACCCTCTGTGACTTCCAAGAAAACTGTGTGGACATCAAGAGTTTTAGCTTGGCTCAGATTTTCATCTTTAAAGGCCCTTTTTACCACAGTAGCCAAATGGTGGCATGGTTACCTACCATCTTGAAGGGGCAATATACAGAAACAATATTTATACTAAACTAAACCTAATACTTTTTTTAAAATGGAGCTTCTATTAATTAGCCTCGCCCCCCAAAATGGAGAAAAAGTAGAACATCCTGGTTCAGTCCATATATATGAGCCGCACTGTCCACTGGAGCCCTTACACACACACACACACACACACACACACACACACAGACACTCCGCTCCCCCAAATATTAAGATGCCAGGCTACCTTTTCTCTTTTAGCAGTAGTATTAAGGCTTGAGGAACATTTTAAGGCATTTTTAGAAACTCTATGTAAAGTGAGAGACAAAATGTTTTAATGAATATAGGATATGTGATATCTATATTAGACATAGAACCTGCCACTACTAGGCAATTGTGGTCTAGCTTAATAAAAACTTTGACCCAGAGGATTGCTAGTGGTTATTACTAAGGTTTAAAGAACTATCCAGACTATTTGTACTTATTTTGCTCTCTCGGTCTCTCTCCCCCTCCCCCTCTCTTTTGGTTTTCTGTTTCCCCACAGATTTCTAATGACAAATGCCAGTTATTCCATTTCTAAGCAGAACTGGTTTGTCCTCCACACTGTGGAACTGGTCAGACCTGGAGACCCACCTGCTGTCTTCAATGTTACCCAAATCACAGCCCCTACCAACTATTCCTTCAGCTGTGCTTGTGTGAGCAGTGAACCATCTTTGGGGGGCATGTTGTTCCCTGCCAAAAATGCCACCCAGTGGGATCTGACTATCCTGAGATTTCAGGTACTCTGAGTGGGAAGAATACATCCTAGTTAGTTGGCTTGAAAGGGTGACAGAAAACCAGGGTTGGGATTCAAATTTTTTAACAACTGGTTCTGTGGGCATGGCTTAGTTGGTGGGCGTGGCTTGGTGGTCATGTGACTGGTGGGCATGGCTTGGTGGTCATGTTATTGGGTGGGCGTGGTCAACTCAATATCACTCACATCGAGGCACGCATCTCCTCACCTGGCCTCTCATGACTGTGGGGATGCTGCAACAGTCGTAAGTATGAAAAATGGTCAGGTCACTTTTTTCAGTGCCTTTTTCAGTGCCATTGTAACTTTGAATGACCATGACTCCACACAAGCAAATTACCAGCAAAGGAGGGGGAAAAAACTTCAGAGAAGTTCCAGAGACAGGAAGTCTAGTCCTGCCAAGAATGTAATAAGGGTTAATGGAGAGGCAGTTTCTGTAAGCAACACCAGAATGTTTCCTTCCTGCCTTCCTTACAGGATTAGGCCAGTAATTTCTTCTAACAACCGGTTCTCCAAATGCTTAGAATGTTAACAACCTGTTCTAGAGAATAGGTGCAAACTGGTAGAATCCCACCCTGCAGAAAACCCCCAGTCTTTTATAAAGCCAAGCTGTCCAACCTTTCCAGAAATGTCTCATTTTATGCTTGTATCAATGGACCACCTTTCTAATAAATTATTTTGGTATTTGTAAGAAGGCTTTGGTTGCTTTCTTATTGGCAGCCAGGGATCAAGGTCAATCTCCCACATCCTCTGACTTCTGATAAGACTCTGTAAATGGCACTGGACTAGAGCTTTTTCTATATACTGTAGTAATGGAATTTGTTAAGATCCTGTTGGGAATATAACGAGGTGTAGGGAGATTTAAACCAGCCTGCAACACTAATGCAATCTTCTCTGTCCTTGCAGATCCAAAGCTACCAACTGATAAATGAAACATTTTCTGATGCTAGTGACTGTGCTGGTTTCTTTACTCCTGGAATATGGATGGGTTTGCTCACTTCATTGCTTCTTGTCGCTATCTTCACCTATGGCCTCCACATGATCATGAGCCTCAAGACTATGGACCGATTTGATGATCCTAAGGGGCCTACCATCTCTGTGCCCCAGACAGAATAGTGGTCGGTTCACATGAATCTCATTTTATTGACAAAAGTGACCAGCTTGTGTATACCGTTATTCTGCCTATCCCGTCAGTCATCATCCCAATCCCTAACATGATGTACTAAATTTTTCTTGGTCCTGGACCTTTACCTTGTATAGCTGCTCCCTGACTCAAATTCCTCTTATTCTTCTCCCCTCAATCTAATATTCCTGGAGACAAGCTGTAAGTAGAGAGATATTGTTTCCGTACTGGATAGAGATGGACATCCTGTGTTTTGCATACTGCTGAGAATATCTACACTGAAGTTTGCTGAAGCTTTATCTCCTCAGAGAAAACAACCATTCCCTTTACGTTTCTAGTGGACAGAAATAACCTTACCTTGTAATGTAAAGTGGTGTACATTTTCTTATTTTTGTTGAATGTTTTTTTCCCCTTGCCTTATCGAGATCCCTATTTGCACCCACACTGCTGTATTTCAAATAGTTTTCTCCCCATCGTCTTTATTTATTTGTGGTTCTTGTGATTAGTTCTGTTTATGATAACTCAAGTATTTGGGACTTTGTGCTGCTTGTGATCAGGTTCGGTGGGATTTCCCTCCCATGACCCATTTGCTGTTCCAGCAATTTGAAAGATGCAAATAAAGGAGAGAGTTGAATCTGTGTAGTGTGCATGTTAAAACATCTTAAATTTTAGTTGGATTTATGGAAAATTATTATATTTCTTTACTCCCAGTATCTATTGTAAATGCCACTTATGAATGCTATTGTCTGTATTCTGACATACTGTTTTTTAGGTAAGTCTTAAGGCAGGAGATAGCAACTTAGAGTCTTGGATTAATTTTAATAGCCCTCTGCTTAAAATCAATTTTTACCAGTGGTTAATTCACAATAAAGATCAATCTCTACCTTAGCAGACTGTGGTATGATATCAATCATATCAATTTATTACACTCATTGGCCAGTGACTAATAGAACTTCATTATAGAAATGTAAAATTAAAATCAAGAAAAGATTAAAGGATATTTAAGTGGAATCAAAGGTATAACTACAATCTTTAAAATAAGAGTAAAGTAAAATGATATGTCATTAACTGATTAATATTAACTTGGTTAAACAGATTTAACTTTTCAAAACTAAATTGAGGGCCTAATACTAATATGCTAAAAAAGATCTATAAATCAATTTTAAGAAAAACAATTGAACATCCATAGTTTTCAAATGATTTTATTTGGTTAACAAAAAGCTGCAATAAGTCTAAATTGATAGAGTTGACAACAGTTTGCAAGAGTATCAGTAATTATGACAGGAGTTAAAAGGACCTTCATTGTGTTTGCCCATACCCAGTCCCCTAATGATCTGTTGACAAATTTTTATTGCTGCAACACAAAATCCATCAGTGTTCTATCTGATAACTAGTTTATTTTCTGATAAAAGAAAATCAATGAGAAAAATTTAATTTAGATCTGTAAAAATGTCTGTAAAGGAAGAGTAAAAATTAGTTCACTGTCCTGGTAATAGGGGCGTGTAGGCTGTGAAAAAAAAAGAGTTCATGTATGACATCAGTTTCATACAGCCCTGACATTTATCATTGCTTCCAGCTCTTGCTATTGACATATAGCACCTGAAATGTACTTCAACAACAAAAAAGGCAGTTCATTACATGTATTATGGTATTGGAAACAAATATCTGTCTTTCCTTTCCCAGTTGTAGTTGCATTTGAGAAGCCATTTCATTTGAAAAAATGTTTCACTGTTATAAAAAACTTCCTGAAACATGTTGCAAGTAAATCACACTTAACAATGCGTGAATAATTTCAAAGCATCCTAATTAGATTTAGCACTATTAAAAGCACATTGTTAAACAGTTCTGTGTAGCCAGTCTATCAGTGATACTTAGTGACATCTTTCTTTGTAAATGCCAGGACATAGAATTATAACTATATTGGGAACCAGCATTTCATATTAAATGGGAAAAGTTGGTTTCTTAAATCCTGTTTATATAAAAGTGGATGGAGGATTGCTGGAATCCTGTCATTTTAAGGATTCCATAAATCAGTACTACTGTAATCAATGGTAGTTTGGCCTAATTTTAAAAAGTTTTGGGGAATGCTATCAATTTAAAACTCAGGCAAGAATGACAGGTAATAGTAGTAGCCGAGGAAGGTAGTATCTTTGGAATAAGAACTTTTCATGTTCCATCTTTAACATCTTTAATAATAATTTAATAGGAAAAAAATCCCCATTCCTGGATTTCTGTAACAAATAAAATGTGTGCAGTTACTGTTGTTCCTAAGAAAGTAAGGGGATCGAGATAAAGGAACCTTATTTCATTTTAATGAGTATTTCCTAGGGAATTAATGTGCAAAACTAGTCCCTTATATTCAAGAAAATTCAACAGAAGGAATCACAATACTTATTGTGGGTTTCAATTCCTCTTGTAATCAATCATACAAAGTTATATAAGTGCTGTTTTGTACTATCGTTCTCATGGGAAAGTGGGGAGCCTTTGAATTCGATGCTTTCTACCTCTAGTAGCTGAAAAAAATAGAGGGAAGTGACATTCCCTTGCATTTTCATGAATAGTGCCATGAGCAAGAGAGGAAATGGCTGCATCTGTTTTTAACACTGCAAAGCTAGTAAACTCTAAATGCTAATACAGCATTTCTTGGCCTCAGCAATTGAAGTGCAGATCAACTCCCAGAATTCTGAGAGTTAAAAAGTCCACACAATCATTTTGTCTAATTTTTACCTAGTGAGAGCATTGTCAGTAATGCCATTAGAACTGATGGGACCCCTTGTATAAAATGCCTTTCTGCCTCTTTCTCCTTACCTCTTGGTGTTTGCTTCCTTATTAGGCCCTTGGAGTTTCTTTAGGCTGTATACCAGGGGTCTCCAACCTTGGC